GCCCTGGGCTCTTTTTCTTAGTTCTTTCTACCTGTGCTGGCTCTGCTGGAATCTCCAGGCCCGGTTCTCGCCGTAGCCCTCTGTACACTTGCCCTGCTCTGCCCCAGCCACGTCTCCATTTTGCTTCAGACTTGAGCTGAACATAGCTCTTGGCAGCCTCCTTTCTCAGTGAAGACTCAGGCCCATGTTTTAACTTCTCCAAGGCTCCTTATCTTCTGCACAGCGGAAGTGAGAGGAAGAGCAGAGGCCACAGCAACTGATGTGCAATGAGGTTTGTATTCATGGTTCTCATTTGTTAACAGAACTGCTTCTGACTCGATTATCAGTAAGGCAAATGCCTTACACTGGGAAACTTTATAATGAATGGAAACCTGTTTCTGAGAGTCCTGAAGTCTGAGAAGCCCAAGTTCAGGTGCTAAGGCGGCTGTCTAGCATGGGCTTCTGACCGAATGAATCTGCATTCACCACAAGAACAAAATGCAGAGAGGATGCAGGCTCCCCCTGCCTCCTTTATACACACACACACACACACACACACACACACACACACACACACACACACATATGCACAACAGATAGGACATGTTCTACCTGTATATGTCAGTATGTATGTTTTCAGGATGTCCATTTGGTATTGGGGAACCAATCGCTGTGTTCTTTCCTTGATGAAGACTATTTTCCCCAGTATCAACATTCCTTTGTTGCCTAAATTCTTTGTGTAGGGTTGAGGCCCAGTGAGCATTCCCCTGTCTCTTGTTAGCATGTCCTTTGGTGTTTTCCTAATTCAGCTTGTGTAACACAGTCATGCTGGTAAGACCGTGTGGGCATAGCTTCTGACATTCCTAGGAGATGCAGCCTCACAGCAAACTCCTTCATCTTCTGGCTCTCGCAGTTTTTCTGCCCTCTTTCCAAAATGATCCCCAGGCCTTAGATGCAGGAGGGTCAAAAATTTAAGATGTTCTCATATCCAAGGTCTTAGAAGTACCAAGAGTACTTAGAGCACCAAGCTCTGAAATATTTCGATCCTAACAACATGCCTTCTAATGGGCCTCTTTAGAGAAAGGAAAATTTTGTTTTGTTTTGGGGGTGTTTATTATCAGATAGCACCTGCCTGGGTGAGAGTTGGTTACTGTCTTGCAGTTATTCACACTGTACCAAATGTCCTGTTGGAGGGAGCATGAGACACTAATGGCTCTCCCAGTCCCCAGAAGGTCAAGAGCTCTGATGGAGGTATAAGACCCACCCCCCTGGATGAATATCTACTTGCTTTGCTTATGAAACAATTAGGCTGCTGCCTTTCTTCTGAGGGAAGTTAAATTACTACAAACAAATACAAAATGAGTGTATGCTCTCTGCTTACTAGGCAACATTTTTGTTTTGTTTTGTTTTTTCCCAGAATATTAGTGTTTTTTAGGGGAAGGCTGTTTTTTTCTGCAAGGGACTTTACAACCCTTTTGAGTCACGGAACTTGCCCTTCTTCCCACCCCAAATCTCCATCTGAAGTCTGAGGGGTTTGTGAGTACTGTGTGAAGTGCATATTACCAGGTCTTTGGAATCACCACACAGCTGAACTTTATCCAGCTTATCGTCCACGGAATTGGCTATTAGTGTGGCTCTGGGCTCTGCTGGCATCTCATGCAAGCATGCCATCTGGCCAAGGGACGGCTAGATCAACAGTGTTTTCTGTGAGAGAGTTAAAGAATTAAGCAATTACAGGTCTCAGAACCATGGGTAGAGATGTGGAAATATGTTCTATAAATACCACCGCAACTACTGAAATCCCTTTGCAGGCAGCGCCTTCTGAAAGCCGGGGAGGTCTGGGGTGGCTCACTTCTGATTTCTTCCATGTTTGCCCCAGAGAGTGTCCCAGGGAATCTTGCACAGAGAGGATTTTTTTTTTCTATTCATTTTTGGATCATATGAAAGATGAGACTTTACCGGAATCCACATTCACATTTTTGTGCATGTTCTCCCTTTTCTTCATAAGGTTCATTGGAGTGGAACAACCATAGAATTCTGAGGCCACGGCCATATGCAAGTTAGGGAGCCACAGACTCCCATTATCAAACCTGATGCATGATGAGTGTTGGGTTCTTTACATCTCTCCAAGTCTCCAAAACAGTGTTCAGTGCTGACCATATGGACACAGTGGTATCACAAGGGAAAGTAAAGCAGAGGGAGGCGACTGCCCCCTCCATGCAGAAACTAATGAGCATCCAGGAGGCAAGTCCACTGCATTTGATCCACACGGGTCTTCGCGTGCTGTCCCTCCTTCCACGCCCCTGCAGCTTTCCCTGAAGCCCCGTCGGAACGGGGCTCAGGACGGTTTATATCCACTATCCACTCCTCCGCTTACTCATCTGTTCCGTGTTTTTTTTTTTTTCCTTTAGTCGTTCAGTTCTCAATTCCCACATCCCTAGGTTCAAAATGCTTTGTGAGTCCTTGCATAATACGTATATAAGTATGACCAGCCACTATTATGAACATTTTCTAACTTATTTTGGACACACATAGACACACAAGAGACCGTATACACATATCACACACAGAGAGACACCATGTCTCTCACACACAAACACACACACACACATCTCTCTCACACTCACATGTCTCACTCACACACACACTCTCTCTCTCTCTCTCTCTCTCTCTCACACACACACACACACACACACACACACACACCACCGAGAACAGAATAAGCCTGTGTCTGCTGGGCAAGAGGTCAGCGTGGGAGATGGCTGGGCTGAGGGCGCCCACCCCACGCTCAGTTCCTCCTCTTTGCGATTCCCCATTCTTACCTGTCTGTACTTCAGGGTGCTCAGGTCTTAGCGCTTGGTTTGCTGGGCCTCTGGCTACAGGCGCAGGGGTTCTACATAAGAGCCCATTCCAAGGCACAGAGCGATGAGATGTGTCCTGCTCCCGTGGGAATGGGCACTGGGGTGCCGTCTGCTTTTGTTTCTGAGGAGCAAATACAGAACCACCGGAGCAGTTGCCCAGGCCTGTGCTCTCACACATCTTCATACCATCTGGGGTCTGGGGCTGAGGCCAAGACTAGCTTCGTCTGAAAGTGCTTCAGCTGCACCCGGGGCAGCACTTAACTCCTTCTCTGACTGGGCTTAGGCTACATCACATGCGCAGTTGTGGCTCCCGAGCTGTAGGAGAGACAGCTTCCAGGCATATTCTGGTGGAGGACATAAGTACCAGGTAAAACTATTTCCAAGCCTTGACTCCGCCATATCCGCTAATATCAATAGTGCATGGCCTTTTACATGGCTCAGTGTAAGGTGCAGGTGAGCGGGGAACATAGTGGGTGCCTCCTAATGCATCTCCATGGCTTGGATACCTGCGGAGGATGGCCCTTCTGTACAAGTAAAGGAAATAAGCACTTGGCAGAGGCCTGGGAAGGGGAAAGGAGTAAGCATACTAGTCATATGACAGAAAGATTCTTCTTGCATGGAAGAGCCTGGAGCAGGCAGAAACCAGACACGTAATTACCAAGTCATCGTAATAATGAAGGCCTAATATGGGGAGGAGACGATGAGGGCGTGAAGGGATTGGAGGTGAGGAGGGTATTTGTGGTGCCTAATCACACCTGACTGGATATAACAAGGCAGGGAGGATCAGCCCCATGCAGTGACTAAAGCCTGACCAGTATCAGAGAATGGAAATCGGCGTTGAAGCTGGGGGTTACAGCATCTCTGAGATGCTGTAAAGTTTACCAGGCGGGTGCTTTGATGGAAATAAGGCATAAGATAGGGTGGCCTTGGGGAAAGAGGGTGATAAGGAGGGCGGCAGATAAAGACTCAAGTAGGAGCCATCGTGGGGGATGGAGGGGGGACCCTGGGACTAAGGGCAGAGCAAACCTGTCAGTGTTCCGGAAGCCAGAGCAGGAGGGTGGCAAGACGTCGGCATGACCTCGTTCTATGGCCTTCTGACTAGAGAGGGCAAACACCAAGCCGAGGGGTGCTTGGCAGTGGGCTCAGCTGAGTGGCAGAGGCCGCTGTTCTTCCAGGGTTAGCGACAGTGAGGAGACTACTCGAGGAAGACGCCAGGGGAGGGGGATTGCACCGTGCCCTTCACGTGGTTGTATTGCACACAGGCATCTGTTGACCGTTTTCACAACCACAGAGGGTAGCGCCACGCCCAAGAACACAGAGATGGCGCCATCGGTGAGGGAGCCAGATCCCAGCCATTAGGAAATTCAGACGAATGATGCTTCGATCTATTACTGATTCTGAACTAGGACTTTATCTGGGGTAGTCTAGGTCTTGCCTTAGCAAATACGCTAATTTTCCTTCTAAATATTACAGACTCCTGTTCATGAAGAACATGATGGGAAGGTTCTATTGTAAATGTTCACCGATTTTAATCGAAAGGTAGCGGAAGGACAAACGAAGCCTTCGCTAGCTTCCCCACTGGAGCTACACTACACTTGCGCGTGGCCGTGGGGACGGGAAGGGAGGTATGCAATCTGCCACGAGCGCAGTCGTTGGGACTCTGTGGAGAAATGCCCAGTAACTGATGGTAACCTCCAGAGCTCCTACAAAGCAGAAATGACTACCGGTGTTTAAATTAAACGAGTTAAGGACAAAGCACCTGGGAGGTAAAACGTCTTAAACGGGAATTACTTGCAAGGCACTTACGATGCTTTAGGATCTGTCTTCCTACGAGGTTCCGTCAACCTCTGATGTTTCCATCGTTTTCTATTTCTGTGTTCCCCTTTCCCCCATATGTCTGCTTCTATCCCCCCCCCCAGTTCCACGCTACCAGCCTGTCACAGGCAGTGTACGAGTTCTGAGTCCCCACTGACGGGTTTTCCTACGTCAACCAACCCAGCACGCCCCGCTGTCCACTCAGAGAGAGCCACTAGTGCTCCAAGGCATCGAAGCCGCGTAGCCTTTAACCGTGTTTGCACGCTGCAGAGCTGAGGACGACTTAAGGTCTACCTGCACATAATGCTTCCCGTGTTCTTGTCTTTGTGCCCGCCCCTCCCCCAGGGCTGTGACCTGGAACAGCAGAGCATTGTACACGTAGTGCAGAGACCAGAGAGGAAAAGTCATGCGGCACAGGCACCCGGAGAGGACAAGCCCCACGTCACCTCAGGGGGCTCGGTGTGGGCGCCCAGAAGCTTGACCAGGGTGGACCTCAGCAGCCATATCCTGCCAGCGGACTCCGTGGGACTGGCGGTCATTCTGGATGGAGACTCGGAGGCAGCCAGAGGCCCCGGTAAGTGCAGTGACTCCGTTTTGTCTGTCAACCGACTCTCCAGAGACAGTGCCCTCACTCTGCACACACTTGGTTCGTGACATGTCTGGGGCTGGAATCTCTAAGTCACCACAGGGGGACATCCTGAGCATGCACAGTTGTAGACACGAGGGAGTAAAGGGAATAGTAAGAACGTACATTAGAACAGAGTTACAGGAGAGCAGACATAAAGGATGCTGACCATGCACGGGCCATGAACAATGCGTTACGTTTCTCCTTTGAGGAGGTGGGGTGGTACAAACATGTGGCAAGCCATGTCAGTGTTTGGTGTACAACCAGGAGCGCACATGTCTGTCTCGTGTTTTGCTTTTCTTTAACTTCTTGTGTTCTTAAGTGTATTTCCCTTGACTAGATTTTCAGTGATGCAGAGATGGTTTAAAACTCAAAGGTGTTTTTAATTTCTTGTTCACATTCTCTGGCCCCGGGTCATGATGTAGGTATAGTCATTTCAAGCATTTTCCTTGGTAAGTAAATGCATTGCCCCAGTGAATTTATGTAGTAACGGATGCTCAAGACTGATCAAGTCTAGAACACAGGAAAGTGTCCCTCCCAGTCTGGAAGCTGCGGCATGTAGGTGGCAGAAGGTTGGGAGCCTGGAAGGACCTGGCATCTCTTTCTGAGAAGGCACCGTATCGGTGCCTGTCTCTGAGGAGATGAAGACCATATCTTCATGTTGCAGAAGGGATTCTACAGCTAAAATAAGAAATGATAGGGCTACTGTTTCTTCAAATAATGGCTCAAAATAATCCTCACACCAGAGACATAGTTTGTGTCCCATATTATCTGGGTGTCTGTATACTCATGGTAAACTATTCTCTTCCTTGACTATAGTGATCCATCATGAATTCCTTTTTATGACATTAATCCCACTCCTGAGGTCCTGAGGGTCCCACGTCTTAATATCATATTTGTGATTAGGTTTAGAGGGGACACGGATAGGTAAACCCCAGGAGGCAGTCATCATTTTGTTACACCGATGATATTAATAGATTTACTTAAGCATTTATTATCTGGTATGAATAAGTAATGGCAGAACACTAGTAATTTGGTCTGTACATACAGATAAAAGCCAATAATTAACTCTCCAGAGCAGTTTATTTCCTCTCCCACGCACACATAGATAGGCCTGGACTAGCATGGCTTTCTCAGCACCGGGGGATCCGATCCTGAGGCCAGAAAGACGGAAGCTCAAAAATAACAGAAAATGGCTCTCGATAAAATGCTTAAATATTGCTTCATTGACTTGTAAGACCATCAGTGATCTCGCAGTAGTAGTAGTAGTAGCAGGAGCAAAATCTACAAAGAACAGCACAGAAACACAGTTCCCAGCTGTAGTTACATAAAAGAGTGGAAGGCCCCGGAAGTCAGGTGTGCTGCTTCAGGCAAATAACTGAGCTCATCTGGTAAAGGGAAGAACCCCCCAGGACAACGAGGTCCTGAAATGAAAGGAGCCAAAGTTGGCTGGACGAGAGCAACAAGCTGGATGTCTCCCAAGAGAACGGAAAAAGTGGAGGGGTAACCGCTGCCAAGAGCAGAGCCTTGACCTAACAAGTCAGCACCCCAAACACTGTTGCTCAAGTCAGGGACAGGACACAAACAGCCTCCTAAGCCAGCATGAGCTTGCCCGCCCCCAGCTTGCCAGTCCTGTTGAAGGATTAACCAGGGCAGAGAGTGGGACCGAGGCCAAAGTAAATGCTTGAGGGACAACATGCAGTCAGTGTCGGTGTGAATTATGATGGTGGACAAGCATGCCAGGTGCAACATAAACAGTGCCTAAGATGCCACCCAAAAGAAAAACTGCATTAGGAGATTAATACTGTGATAAGGGGTCATACGCCGAGCAACAATAGAAAAGAGTAAGCTAGAATCATAATGTTGACCCTAAAATGAACACTCTGACGGATGAGGTGTTGGTTTGGATGTAGGTTGCCCTGTGATTTTATACATAATGCTGCGAATGTCAGTCAATTGAAGCCGCCAGAGAGCAATTCTATAGCTTCATGGAAGCAAGTGAGCTTTCAGGATACACCTTCTGTGACACCTGCACACGGGATTGTAACAGAAATTTATGGGGTTATGCAAAATAGAAAGAATAGCCATCTTTAAAGCATGGTGTTGAACTCCTATGGTGATTCCATAGTTAAAACAAATGGTCTCAATGTGTCAAATCCAGAAATACAGAATTAAGGCTCTTTTTTTTTAAATTTCTGAATTGCAAATGGGTGTTCCGTGGAATATGGCTTATATAAACATCAAAACATTAAAAAGCCCCATATTGTTCATCACTAGGATTATCATATGGGTATGGTTGAAAATTAAACATAACATTGAAATAGTTTATTCTTTGTATTTAAGATGTTTATTGACCAAAATCACTCCATTATATTAGTAGAACAGCCAACTAGTTCTATAATGTGACATTCAAATTATCTTTCTAAAAATAAAATATACATTTACATTTTTGAGCAAAACCCAACCAACCTCTCTACTCAGTGTCTCCACAAGAACAACAGCAGAGTAATCCTGTGTGTACATGTCCAGTCTGCTGCTGTTTCTGCCTACACTATCTGACCACTTAGGTTTAACTCTGGGTTCATCCGAAAACAGAACGATAAGCAGCTGGGGTTGGCGTGGGGACTGGCTTCTTAATCTAGAAACCAACACGAGAGAGCCATGTTGAAAATCAAGGAAGGGATTTAGTAGCTATGAACTGGAATCGGGGAGCAGCATCCCCAGACCTGACTTGAGGGTTCTGAAATGAGTGAGCTTCCAGTTTACATGGAGGAAGAGTTGAGGCAGGCGCAAGGTTACGCATAATTAAGCAGCCTTGTTCATTTTGTGGCCCAGTGGTTCTCAGGGCTGGCATTGTGAGATCGTGCTTAGTTGGTGGAAGGGGTAGCAATCCTCATGTTTCCTTCATGGGACAATAGGGTCATCTGCCTATAGGGCTGCTGTTTCTAGAACTCAAGGAGAACATCTCCATTCTCTCGGTTCGGGTCATGGGACGATTTAGCAGCTGACTAATGTTGGTTATGTGTCCCTTCGTTACACTTATTTTGTCTTCAGCCTGGAAGGAGAAGTATGAGCAGCCTGACGTGGCTGATCTTCGAGTGAGGGTCAAGTCTGTGATCGGTGTAGTGCAGCAGTCTGACCCACTACTGTAACACAGTGAAGGCAATAGACACAGAATGAAGGCCGAGACACTGTCTCCTGTTCCGTTTTTTATAAATGCATTATGCATGTATGAACCTGAACCGGAGTGAAGTCAGTTTGTCTTTCCTTTTTCAGAAAAAAGCAATCTAACTCTTTATTACAGAAATGTCTGCAATCTGAGAATTTTCTCTCTAGGTATCTGTAGGTAGGAGAAAGTAATCAATAAGAGAGGTGATACATGATTTACATAAAAAACCACTTAATACTGTTTATACTGTGGAACTTGTCAGTGTCTCAGCAAAGTCACATCAGACTAAAGAACAGTAGAAACAAGTCTTGGCTGAGGAGACCCTGTACACACAGCTCTAAAATAAGCACTTTAAATAAAGCTCACGAGACATTCCTCCATGCTCAACACCCCTGGCACAGGCCCCTGTAACAAGGTTATACCAGAAACTCTGTCAAGCCTAACCTGACTCAAAAATGGTTCCTTCCCAGAAACACCTGTCTAGCTCTGGCTGTCTCCTCCAGTGGTGTAACACGGAACCTGCCTCCGGGCACCCTGACCACATGATATTTGTTTGGAAACAGCTGATAGATACGTTTTGCCTTTAGAATTCTCTCTTCATCAGTGTCTTGGGGATGCTTCTATGATCCGTCACAGCCCGCAAATACCACAATATATTTCTCTGTCACTTCACATAAACCTGTTTCTTCGGGCGACATTCTTCTTATATTACATTTACGGTACTTAACGGTCTAGGGCATCCAGGCTGATCAGAAGTCAAAGAGCTAAAGTGAGCCATGGGAGCAGTGGTCCTCCAGCTCCCCAGGGTCATCCACAGGGTTAGGAGAGCACAGGATGCTGCGCCCCCACACTGCCCATGGATTAGGGCAGGGACTAAGGAAGTGCACTTCTGACATGTCCCTAGGCAGGGGTAATATATGGTCTTACAGTCTGGGGGCTAAATTGAGTAGCACTGCCTCAGACAGTAAAAAATAACATTGTTCAAAATCTGCCCAGTGAATTCGGTATATAATTGTACAGACTTTGAATGTGAACAGAGCTATTTTTGGCCTTGGAGTTCTTGTGTATAAATTAAGTTTACATGTTGTTTGTGTTTCCGGAATGAGGGACCATTCGTTACCTTATGACGGGTAAAAAAGAGCTACGAGACCTAGAAAAGGAGGGGCCTCCAGCAACTAATCATGTAAACACACAGACACTGGATCCCTACCTGGCCAGGCACTGGGATATAGCAGGAAAATAACAGAAGAAAGTTCTAGCAGCAAGAGGGTAATAAGGAGGATGACTCACTAGCAACAGTGTATCCTGTTGACTGTCTGGAGGGCCGGGCGGGACGGGACCAGGCGAGTGCAAGCTTAAGTTCCTCTGGGATATGCTCACATTTGGGGTGAGCATGAACAGGGAACATCCTTTCTGAGAGCTCAGGCAGAGGCAGCAGACAGGTCCATGGACCGGAGGCAGAGCAATGTTGAGGAAGCAAGTAAAGCCATCAGAGCCAAGGGCTGAGTGTGGCGAGGCCTTGCGTGGTCTCCCTGCAGGGAATAATATTACACTGGGACCTTGGAAAAATGATGTCTATTGTGTATTTCAGTCAGATAGTTAAATTTGAAAGATCAACTTTATATCGTAGGGTTAATTTTTTATTTTAAATATTAAATCCTTGACTGGTAGATGCTCCTTGGGTAAAGGTGCTTGGCCAAGCTTTGATAACCTGAGTTGGGTCCCTAGGATCCACCTAGTAGAAACAGGGAGAGGGAAGGGCGGGAGAGAGGAAATATAA